TGTTTGTGTATCTTTTGACTTTCTTTCTCCTTCTCTCCCGCTTTTTTTTTCTCGGGAAGGAAATTCTTCGGATTTCTCCGTGAAGAGTCCCTGGTCTTTTAATAGGGAATTCAAATGAGGGCGAATCTAGTTCGCTTGATCCGAGTGAAGTCGGATCTCGTTGTGAGTTCGAATGAAGTCACTTTGGATCTGCAAGTTCGGGCGAGGTTGACTTCTGATTTGCCAACTTGGGTGGAATCATCCTTGATTTGCGTATTCGAACGAGGTCGAATTTAGACTTGCCAACTTGGGCGAAGTCAGTTTTGACTTGTATATTCGAGCAAGGTCGAACTTAGAGTTGCCAACTTGGGCGAAATCAATCTTGACTTATATGTTCGAACGAGGTCGAACTTAGAGTTTCCAACTTGGGCGAATTCAATCTTGAGTTATATATTCGAACGAGGTCGAACTTTCCTTTTATTTGGCGATGGCCGATGGCCGTAAGGGTGTTAATTCGAGCGAGGTCGAAATTGTAACCCATTGTAAATTCGAGCGAGGTCGAACTTTCCTTTTATTTGGCGATGGCCGATGGACGTAAGGGAGTTAATTCAAGCGAGGTCGAAATTATAACCCGTTATAAATTCGAGTAAGGTCGAACTTTCCTTTTATTTGGCGATGGCCGATGGCCGTAAGGGTGTTAATTCGAGCGAGGTCGAAATTGTAACCCGTTGTAAATTCGAGGAGGTCGAACTTCTCTTTCGTTNTATATATATATACATATATATATATATATATATATATATATATATATATATATATATATATATATATATATATATATACGACTATTCTTTTGAGAGCGGCTATATAATAGTTATTATTTTCCTAGAAAAGAACCCATCGAGTTCACGAGTAAAAAATTGTGGATTAATTTTTGCTAAAAAATGGTGGATTTTCTCATTCTTTCTTTTCCCTTGTACGACTCATTCAATTTCTCTCAAAACTCTTCAAGTCAACAATCAAGGTCAGGCCTTTTAAACAAACTAAGCTTCCCCAAAATCTTTTTAAAAAATAGAAAACACCCCTTTAGCAAATTATTTTTGGTGGAAAAGATAATACTATTATTTAAACTTAATAATGTATAAGTCAAAATCTACCTCTAAAATGCTTAAGCCATGATAGCATTAGCGAGACATTCACAGGTCGACATGTGTCGAAGTGGTTCAAGGAACAATGAAGACTGCGCTCGAAAAGTCAGCAAAGATTAAGGTCGAGGAGTCATCGAAGATCGAGGTCGAGGTTGAACACCCTTGACAAAGTTATAACGGCTAGTTTCAATATAAGACATTAAAGAGAATATTCTAATGGATATTCTCTGCACTTGTACTATTAGGGTTTGTAGAAACATGTTCCCTATAAATAGAAAGAAACACAATGATAGGGTACATGAGATATTCATTTGTAAAGAACACATTGACTTTTGTATGTGTCCTTTGTATACGTTGTTGGCGGGGGGCGCGAGAGAGTGAAATAACTGTCACTCACAAAATTGCAATAAAAATTGAATTTATATACATTATTATTATTATTATTTTGCAACATTAATATATAGAACTTGATTTTAATAAATGTATGATTGTGACTTGGCAAACGTAAAGTGACCGGAGGTAACGGGTCCAAGCCGGGAAAACAACCTCATGCAGAAATGCTGGGTAAGACTGCGTACAACAAACCCTTGTGGTCCGGCTCTTTCCCGGACCCGCGCATAGCAGGAGCTTGGTGTTTGACCAAAAGAGCTAAGCTTTTTGTTAAACTAACTAATGAGAATATAGAGGATAAATCTTAGCCAAGAATAACTCTAGATTAAACATTAAAGTACGTTGAATAGGAGAATAAGATATAGCCAAGCTCATGAACTTTTGATATTTATGGAGGATATCAAATATAAATAATTTGCTTACATTCGTCATGTATTGTCCCGCAATACATGAAAATAAAGGAGGAAAAGAGGAAAGTCATTGATAGTTGTAAGATCTATCTTTTTTGCCTAAAGAAAAATGATTACAAAGATTTGTCGCCCAGATCTGTAACTTTTCATGTTTTCCTCTTATAGCATTCTCTGGTTTTTCTGCCTTTTTCTCCTGTAGGAGAGAGATCCCCCTTTTCTTGTTCTATCCCTCTTATTTATATAGCACTTATCCTTTTACCCAATGGTTCTTAGCCAGAGGGCCTTAGTCTGTTTATTGTGCATTGGGTTGTCCTCCTTAAATATCATAGCATATGCCTCACCATACGATCTTTTAGATAGTTCGATCTCGGCAGCGGTCGAGTTACTCGTTGTTGTGACTTCTTATGAATACGATCATGGCTCAGTCGACTCCTCGCCATTCCTTTTAGGATAAACCACGCGTGGTCAGATTTTGACCCATACAGTTAGTCCCTCTGCCTATTGAGGTAGCCTCTTGGCGAGCTCGATGGGCGGACTCTGTTGATTCAAAAATTGGGAGAAGTTTGAACGCTTCATGCGAGGGGCGAGAACCTTATGACGAGGTGGCAATGTGACGCTTCGATAATTGCGTCAAACCGTTACGTCAGTTCAGGATTGGACCGTCACGTCAGTTCAGGATGTCATCAATATTCCTCATGCGTCATTATGGCGCACGTTTTCTAGGTATTGTCGTTTCTCGTGCCCCTTTCTGTTTCTCAATTGGAGGCTCTTGGTTTTTCCGCTCAGGGCATTTATATCCATATAAATGGGGGGGGGGGGGGGAGACTCTCATTTGAATGTTACTCCTTTCAATTGTTTAGGAAAGAACACAAATTGTCTCTTCCTTCTTTAGTCTCTCATACTTGTGCTTTTGCTAGGATTCGCTATGACCATAGTCTTTTTCCTTCATCACTTTTGTTTCTTTCGATCAAAGAAAACAAATGGCTAGTGATTCTCCCCACTCTGACAAAGCTGTAGGCGCTACGGTGCTGGAAAATAACGTATCCCTACTCGAAGAGGGAGTGGAAGTGGTGGAAGGCGAGGACTGACTTTAACACCCCTGCCGGAGATGAACCAAAACCCGTTCCCTCCACGATGGATGCTGCGGCGATTACGGCGTTTAAAGCCAAATGGGGGATCCCCGATCACGTTGAAATGGTTCCGGCGGATAAGGACATAGTGCATTTATACCGCCCGGGCTACTGCGCATTTTACGTGTATCCCTTTGTCATCGGGTACACGCTTCTCCTCCCTTCCTT